CTCTGTGGCATCCCAACAATTACTCCATTTACACACAGAAGAAGGCAATGGCAAATCACTTCTGGATCATCTGCCAAGAACGTATATGAACAGGTCCCAGTCCGAGAAAAGGATGGAAGGATCCTGTTCATATGGACCTGTCGTCAGACAGAACACTAAATAATAATAATAAAAAAAGACAATAGTAATACAAAATGTCATCATATTCTCTTCCGCAACATTTAATTTAATCAAGACACGCCTTTAAATCGTACACTTTATTCGGAAAAAGGCAGATTGGGATAATGGATCAGATTCAACAAAATTGTGGTAAGAATTAGGAACGTTCTCTTGTGAACACATCGCGAACATTAGGGTTAAATAAAGGGCAACTGTTTGCTTCTCAAGAACAAATCTGTTCCGTGGATTTGGTTTTTGGGTCTTGTGAACGTAATAATTAATCTTGAAGTGCGTGGGAAAATGCAACGAATTAACCTGATGAACAACCATTAGCTTTTCAAGAAAGACTCTGCTACATGGATTTAGTTATGTCTCATAATTTTTATCTCAGGCTTTTGTTGATGTCATGGCGTCTGCTGTTTAGATAATGACTGTAGTTCTTTGCAGATGGAAGGTAAGACAGGACCTGCTAACCCTCCAAATCCTCTGTCCCTATCGGGGGATTTATATCTAGTTGTAATGTTTATTTAATATCTATGTGCATTTGGTTATTATCTGTCGATGTATGGGATAAATCGACATATATTTAAATTAATTTAATGTGTTCTTAACCACATTAAGGCAGTGTAAATCTCATTAAATATTGCAGAAAGATTTCTATCAGCTTCTTAAGAGAAAAGATTCAATTGAGATACAATCACGTTGTTGCTGGAATGTTTGATGTATTATCAGAGTCGAAGTGGTTCTGTGTTGAGTAATCGCTTCACATTCAATATCGGGACTATTAACGATTCGTATTTGTATCAATCTCTGTGGCATCCTTAATGAGGACACCAGGACAAAGACTGGTTGCATTTGGGTAGAGAATTTAGCCGTAGTTAGAATCTGGGAAGAATGTAATTGAATTTTAGTCCGAGGTACCTCAGTCAGTGTAGTGACTTGCTACTAACTGGACGAATGGGGTTCGATCCTCGAAGAGGACAGAGGACGTTTTTCCCAGCCTCTGCATCCAGACCAACTCTGGGGCCCACCCAGCCTCCTATACAAGGGGTACACGGCCGGGGCGTGGTGCTGACCACTCACCCCCATCTAGTGCCGAGGTCACGAATGAGTAAGACCTATACATCTCTCCCCCCAAGCGCCTACACGGCGTACAGCAGTCCAGCTTTACGTTTTGTGTTTTCCCGATATCAATAAACCGATAGAAGTATATTATTTATTATTTATTTAGTGTTCTGTCTGACGACAGGTCCATATGAACAGGATCCTTCCATCCTTTTCTCGGACTGGGACCTGTTCATATACGTTCTTGGCAGATGATCCAGAAGTGATTTGCCATTGCCTTCTTCTGTGTGTAAATGGAGTAATTGTTGGGATGCCACAGAGCTTTAGCCCCGAAGATGGAAACATTATGTTTTTCCGAAACACTGACATCTGCCGACGATTCTACACTGCGACAAAACACAGATCATCATCATTATCATCGTCACCATGGCGAAAACATCAACTATCGCATTTAAGGGATTAAAATCATCGCAAAAATGTTTACATTTTATAAGAGAATTTGCTTGAAAACGTCGGAACGTGTTTGTTCATTTGCCGTACAATGGACGGAATGACGGCAGATGGACAGACAGACAAATACTGCCATTATTATGCATTTTCAACTCCACCTGTTCCAATATCCTTTATTCGTCAATATTTTCTTTACCTGGACATTATCAATTCTCGGACGTTGACCATCGCAAAACTGTTTGACGACACCTGGAGAAGCCGCGATATTTTGTCAAAATATATGCAGCTGAATAATAAAACAGCCTTCAATTTTCTGGAAGCAAACGGAAAGTTGTGAAATGTTGTCTTTGGAAGAATTCAAACATCAGTCTCATCCAAAGAGGAAGTTTGCAGTTACAACAGGTGTCACAGACACAAAAGGTTCCAAAAAGTGTTAAGTTCCTCCAATAGGCGTGTTACGATGCAAGGCACCAAGGCCGGTTTCATGCCAGCCACGGAACAGAGCAAAAGAACTGGTATTTTTCAACCAGGAAGAGATGATATTTTCTTGTTTGCTTAGCTAGTGCGCCGAGTCACATAATACACTGTATCAGCTCAACGCCCACAACATTGAAGCGAAATTCTACAAAAGCTTACACCGTCCTGGCTTAGTTAAACAAAAATAGCAGGACTCGAACACAGGACAAATTTTCGTGATTGGTTCCTTTGTTCTATTAATTTGCCTGCGGAAACAAGCAACTCTTGTCTTAACTAAGTTCTTATATCGTAATTCGTATCGATCAAATAAAAGATATCCATCGGGACTCGAAGCCAGGAGCTAACTTGACTGAAACTTTCGTCAGATTATCGCAATGAGTAATGACACGTACACACCACAATTGGTCGCATTTGAAATTGGCGAAAAGCATTGGCAAAGCGTAATTTTGCATGTGAAGGCCTAGGAGTGAATGCAGACAAAACTGAGTACGGGACCCACACTTAGGAACAGCTTCGTATACTCTTCCGGATGAAAGTCGGATTCTGGAAGCCAGGAGGCATAGAGAGGGGTTGTGAGGGGACCGGGGAAAGGAAACTGCATTCCTCCCCGTGCCAGGGCAAGGAAGATGTTCAGAGAAGTGAATACAAATTGTGAGAAGTTCCTATGAATAAATTAGCTCCTATTAAATTTGAAATAATAGTGTTTTTGACTGTTTGTGCAGAAAAGAGTACACCGCAAGACCAGTTGTTATATGGTGATAAGTCTTAAATAAATTTTATTTGTAAATAACTCCTATAACATTAGTTAAATTTACTGTACCTCTGAAGATGGCTGCCTCCATCATCCATGATAGACCTGATGATGGAGGCAACAAGGACCTCTGAAACGTCGGTGAACTTCCACCAGACTACACGGGGCAACAACCCAGAACACGGCCATGTTTCAGACTCACCGTCGTGAAAACTTCAAATCTTACAAAACTGTCTCTCAGCTACTGTTTTTAAAACATTTTCTTTTTCCACGAACAAAAACGTTCATTGCTGTGATAACAAAAGACAGCCGGAGTCTTATGTAACACTACGACAGCCTGGCCTTTGTTGTGAGGTGTTATTAGGGAAAACCTCCAGTCCGGAGGACTGCCTCTTTTCGGTCATCCCGCGCCTATTTATTCAAGTTACTTCCCTGAATATATGAAGGCCGCTTTCTAAATCCACAACCTGACAAAGCACCATGAAGTGGTGATCAGGCTGAACGTTGCAGAAGTTCATTTCTCTAGATTTGAATTTAGATTTGAATTCATCTGTGTCTCAGTAACCAAAATTTTGCTCCCTAAGATGGCGTACGATACCCACCCTATAGCCAAACAGCTGTTCCATTTTCGTCTTCTATCCGAAATTCTTTATCCAATGAAATAAATAATAAAATGTAAATAGTCGTGGCTTAGTTGCATAACACTGCTACGTCAGCCACTAGAATTCTAGTTTGTATTCAGCGGCACACGCTAGATTATCAGAGAGCAATTTGTAGTCTGCACGTCGCCTGCAGAACCAGGTTTTTTCTCAAACTCCATTCACTAATGAGTGGATATGAGAGGAAAATGAGAAATGAAGAAATATATTTTCTGCAATGAAAGCACGAATTATTTCTATTACAGTCATTCATTATATAATTCGAACTGGAGAGTTCATTCGCTGTGTAAAATGAAACGATGTTATAATGTACTTCTAAGATCTTCATTATAACAAAAGATAATTAATAAGATTTAAGGCATCCAGGCGCAGCCTTCAAGTTTAATGGAAGAGGCCTGGAAGTCAAACAAATAAAAATCTAACGGGTAGAACAAATCAGTATACGCAGGGCAGCAAGTGCAACAGATTTTAATTTTAATTGATAGACCTGACGATGATGGGATGAACATCGAAACATGTCGTCATTTTAAAATGTAACAATATCAAATGAAGAAATGTTATAATTTTATGTGATTTTAACAATCTATAAGCTTGTGTAGAGACGGTGAATAAAT